GCCAGGATGGTCTCAATCTCCTGACCTCGTGATCTGCCTGCCTTGGCCTCCCAAAGTGCTGGGATTATAGGCATGAGCCACCTCACATGGCCAGGTTGTCTTTAAAAGAACAACCTTAGGCCAGGTACAGTGGGTCACACCTGAAATCTCAGCACTTTGGGAGGCAAAAGTGGGTGGATCACCTGACGTCAGGTGTTCGAGACCAGCCTGACCAACATGAAGAAACCCTGTCTCTCCTTAAAAAAAAAAAAAAAATTAGCCGGGTGTGGTGGCAGGCTCCTATAATCCCAGCTACTCGGGAGGCTGAGGCAGGAGAATCTCTTGAACCTGGGAGGTGGAGGTTGTGGTGAGCCGAGATCACGTCACTGCACTCCAGCCTGGGCAACAGAGCGAGACTCCATCTCAAAAAAAAAAAAAAAAGAATGCTGGCACGGGTGGCTCACGCCTGTAATCCCAACACTTTGGGAGGCCAAGGCGGGTGGATCACCTGAGGTCAGGAGTTCGACACCAGCCTGGCCAACATCGTGAAACCCCATCCCTACTAAAAATACAAAATACAAAAATTAGCCAGGAGTAGTGGCGGACGCCTGTAATCCCAGCTGCTGGGGAGGTTGAGGCAGGAGAATGGCGTGAACCTGGGAGGCGGAGCTTGCAGTGAGCCGAGATCACACCACTGCCCTCCAGCCTAGGAGACAGAGCAAGCCTCTGTCTCAAAAAAAAAAAAAAAAAAAAAAAAAAACAACCTTAATACACTTGAGAAACCTTATCTTGCGGCGTTTATCACGGAGTGCACGCTCCTTGTGTGGCACCCCCTCCCTTCGGCTTTGGGCCTGGGGAGTTACCAGCAGGGAGGAAGCAGGGCCCACACCGTCCCACCTTGTTTCCACTTAGGCCTGGTGGTGGCGCCTGTGGTCCCGGGCACTCAGGAGGCTGAGGTGGGAGGATCGTTTGAACCCAGGAGGTCGAGGTTGCAGTGAGCTGAGATCCTGTCACAGTGCTCCAGTTTGGGTGACAGAGTGAGACCTTATCTCAAAAAGAAACAAAAAGGGGGTTTATGCAAAAGATGTTAAATTAGTTTGTGTGGAAGGTTGTTCTTTTTGTTTGTTTTTTGTTTTTTTGAGATAGTCTCACTGTTACCAGGCTGGAGTGCAGTGGTGTGATCTTGGCTCACTTGAGGGTCAACTTTCCAGGCTCAGGTGATTCTCCTACCTCAGCTTCCTGAGTAGCTGGGATTACAGGCGCGCACCCCTACACCCGGCTAATTTGGGGATAATTTGTTTTTCTATTTTTTGAGATGGAGTTTTGCTTTTGTCCCCCAGGCTGGAGTGCAGTGGCGTAATCTCAGCTCACTACAACCTCTGCCTTGTGGGTTCAAGCGATTCTCCTGCATCAGCCTCCCTAGTAGCTAGGATTACAGGCTCCCACCACTGCACCCAGCTAATTTTTGTATTTTTAGTAGAGACAGGATTTTACCATGTCGGCCAGGATGGTCTCCAACTCCTGACATCAGGTGATCCACCTGCCTCGGCCTCCCAAAGTGCTGGGATTACAGGTGTGAGTCACCGCACCTGACCAGGAATAATTTTTTTTTTTTTTGAGACGGAGCCTCGCTCAGTCGCCCAGGCTGGAGTGCAGTGGTGTGATTTCAGCTCACTGCAAACTCCGCGTCCCAGGTTCACACCATTGTCCTGCCTCAGCCTCCTGAGTAGCTGGGACTACAGGCGTCCGCCACCAGGCCTGGCTAATTTTTTTTTTTATTTTTAGTGGAGACGGGGTTTCACCGTCTTAGCCGGGATGGTCTCAATCTTCTGACCTCATGATCCGCCCGTCTCGGCCTTCCAAAGTGCTGGGATCACAGGCGTGAACCACCATGCCCGGCCAGGAATAATTTTTTTTTCTTTTTTTTTTTTTTTTGAGGCGGAGTCTTCACTCTGTCGCCCAGGCTGGAGTGCAGTGGCACCATCTCGGCTCACTGCAAGCTCCGCCTCCCAGGTTCGCGCCATTCTCCTGCCTCAGCCTCCCGAGTAGCTGGGACTACAGGCGCCCGCCACCGCGCCCGGCTAATTTTTTGTATTTTAGTAGAGACGGGGTTTCACCGTGTTAGCCAGGATGGTCTCGATCTCCTGACCTCGTGATCCGCCCGCCTCGGCCTCCCAAAGTGCTGGGATTACAGGCGTGAGCCACCGCGCCCGGCCCAGGAATAATTTTTTTAAGGCAACTTGCTAGACAATTTTCTTACTAATTAATGACATGAAACATTTCCCTTCTGTGCCTGAAGACCGACCCATGAGCCTTGTCAGTCTGACACAAGTGGAGCCTTGGGATCCTGGGATGGAGACGTGGGGCTGGCGTGGCTGAGGTGTGTGGGTGAGCTCTTGCGTTGTGCTACTGATTTCCTCACTTGGCACAGCTCCTTGCGCTTTGTTCTTTCTGCACAGAATCAGCTTAAAATGGCTCGTTTCACGATTGTGGATGGGAAGACGGGGAAAGGAGTCAGCTTCAAAGACGTGGCAGGAATGCACGAAGCCAAACAGGAGGTCCGCGAGTTTGTGGATTATCTGAAGGTGAGAGCAGCACAGACCAGGAGGGAGGAGTGGGCAGACACCAACCTTCCTTCTCTCCCAGAAGGACTCCTGTGGGACCTGGAATTCCATTGATTATGTGTCACGGGTTGGTGGTGACCTCTACGTGTCCCATGGAGACGCCAGGCAGGTGCTGGTGCCCGTTCAACCAGCAGCACAAGCCCCTTGCACATGGTTCAGCCAAGCGGAGACTGCCAAGGCCCATGCCTACTGTGCCATTAGCCATCCTGGGCCCTTCATCCTTTGCAGAGGTCTGTGCTTTTTCCAGAACCCCATAAACCCCGTAGCCAGTTGGTGGCGGCACATGAGCTGCCTTTCATGTGCATTACTTAAACATTCCCTCTGCAGGCCTGGTGCAGTGGGTCACACCCATAGTCCTAGCACTTTGAGGGGCTGAGGCAGGGGAAGTGCTTGAGCCTAGGAGTAGGACAGCCTGGGCAACAGGGAGACCCTGTCTCTGCAAAAAATTTTTTTATTTAATTAATTTTTTTTTTGAGACAGAGTCTCACTTTGTCACTCAGGCTGGAGTGCAGTGGCACAATCTTGGTTCGCTGCAACCTCCAACTCCCCCAGTTCAAGTGATTCTCCTGCCTCAGCCTCCCGAGTAGCTGGGATCATAGGCACCCACCACCGTGCATGGCTAATTTTTGTATTTTTAGTAGAGACGGGGTTTCTCCATTTTGGCCAGCCTGGTCTCGAACTCCTGATCTCAGGCTATCTGCCCGCCTCGGCCTCCCAAAATGCTGGGATTAGAGGTGTGAGCTGCTGCGCCCGGCCTGCAAAAAATCTTTAAAAGTAGCTGGCTATGGTGCCACATGCCTGTGTAGTCCCAGCTACTTGAGAGGCTGAGGTGAGAGGATGGCTTGAACCTAGGACGTTGAGGCTGCAGGGCTGCAGTGAGCTCTCATGGCACCCACTGCATTCCAGCCTGCATGACCCAGAGAGACCTTACCTCAAAAAAAAAACAAAACAGTGAAACCCCACGTGGTTAGTGTCACATCATCTGCTGCCGTCCAGAGCCCAGAGCGCTTCCTCCAGCTTGGCGCCAAGGTCCCAAAGGGCGCACTGCTGCTCGGTCCCCCCGGCTGTGGGAAGACGCTGCTGGCCAAGGCGGTGGCCACGGAGGCTCAGGTGCCCTTCCTGGCGATGGCCGGCCCAGAGTTCGTGGAGGTCATTGGAGGTAGGTGCTGTGGTTGGGGGCTGTGGGTGGACTTGGCTGACCACTTGGCTCCTTTCACATGTCCTTCCTCTGGTGGCTGGTCTGAAAGGGAAACAGGTGGGCCGGGGAGTAGGGAAGGAAAGCAAGGTCTGGGTTAGAGGAGGCGTTTTGTCTGCGGAGCATGTGGTGTTTGCTTCAAAGCCGCTGTCACTTGTGGCCTGGGGGGGCCAGCACGGTGCGTGTGAACCCTGAGGGGTGGCCAGGGGCCCCCACGAGCAGCTGCCGTGTGTCTGTTTGCAGGGGATGGGGCTGGTAGCTTTAGTTGTCCTTTGTGTAGAACTTTGTCTGGCCCGGGTACGGGAGGAGACTTTGTTTTTTATTATCTGCCCATTTCCTGGTTCTCTCTGTGTCCCCTCAGGCCTCGGCGCTGCCCGCGTGCGAAGCCTCTTCAAGGAAGCCCGAGCCCGGGCCCCCTGCATCGTCTACATCGATGAGATTGACGCGGTGGGCAAGAAGCGCTCCACCACCATGTCCGGGTTCTCCAACACGGAGGAGGAGCAGACGCTCAACCAGCTTCTGGTAGAAATGGACGGTCAGTGCTCGTGCACCCCACACCCCCAGTGCACCATCAGAGAAGGTTTTCTGATGTCTTTCAGAATAGGTTGTGGCGAGCCAAGATCGCACCACTGCACTCCGGCCTAGGTGACAGAGTGAGACTCCGTCTCAAGAAAAAAAAAAAAGAAATACAGCTTTTAGACCCAGCACAGTGGCTCACGCCTATATAATCCCAGCACTTTGGGAGGCCAAGACAGGCAGACCACGGAGGTCCGGATTTTATGAACAGCCTGGCCAACATGCTGAAACCCCATTTCTACAAAAATACAAAAATCAGCCGGGCATGATGGCGGGTGCCTGTAATCCCCGCTGCTCTGCAGCATCGCTTGAACCCGGAAGGTGGAGGTTGCAGAGAGCCGACATCTCACCATTGCACTCCAGCCTGGGTGAGAGAGGGAGACTCCATCTCAAAAAAAAAAAAAAAGCACAACTTTTAATTTAAAAAACGTCAAGGCAATAGTAAAAAAGATAAGTAGGAATAGAAGCGGTATGTCAGATGTAATCTTTTTATTTTTTTGAGATGGAGTCTCACTCTTGTTGCCCAGGGTGAAGTACATGCCACGATCTCGGCTCACTGCAACCTCCGCCTCCCAGGTTCAAGCGATTCTCCTGCCTCAGTCTCCCAAGTAGCTGGGATTACAGGCACCTGCCACCACACCCGGCTAATTTTTGTATTTTTAGTGGAGACGAGGTTGGCCAGGCTGGTCTTCAACTCTTGACCTGAGGCGGTCGGCCTGCCGCAGCTTCCCAAAGTGCTGAGATTACAGGCATGAGCCTCGGCACCCAGCCTTTTTTTGCATTATTACTGTTTTTTAGGGGCTTTCCAGCAAAACCCAGAAAGACCGCTAGACAGGTTCTGGAGCAGCTGGTGCCGCTTCTGTCTTTAGGTCTGTAATGGGTCGGTCAGAGTGCGCGCTCCTGTCTTCAGGTCTGTAATGGGTCGGTCAGAGTGCGCGCTCCTGTCTTTAGGTCTGTAATGGGTCGGTCAGAGTGCGCGCTCCTGTCTTTAGGTCTGTAATGGGTCGGTCAGAGTGCGCGCTCCTGTCTGTAGGTCTGTAATGGGTCTGTCTGAGTGCGCCGCTCCTGTCTTTAGGTCTGTAATGGGTCTGTGTGATTGTGCCGCCACGCCTCTCCCTGTGCCCCCCGAGAAGGTGAGACTCTGGTTAGAGGGCCCAGCAGAGCATCAGCGCGCTGCACTGCGGGAAGGGAGGCGCCCCACATGTTGTGCCCCTTGAAGATGACTTCTGGTCTGGCTTTGACAATTTTTTTTTTTAAATGGAGCTGACCCAGTAAAGGTGACCTGGAACTATTTTTCTCCTGACCTACTTTTGCAAGATTATTATTATTTTTTTTTAAATGTGGATATTGTTGTGGTAAAATATACAGATAGCCAAGCTTGGCAGTGGCTGTGTTCCCGGCTGTTTGGGAGGCGGAGGCAGAAGGAGTGCTGGAGCCCGAGCTCGGTGGTGTACTGTGCGATGGTCTTGCCTGTGAACAGCCTCTGCACTGCAGCCTGGATAACACAGCGAGACCCTGTCTCGACAAAACAATTAAAAAAATACATTCACATAAATTTACCATTTTAATCATTCTGAAGTTCATCGGCATTAAGTACATTCGCCTGTTGAGCAACCACCACCACCGTGTGTCTCCAGAACTTTCTCTTCAAACCAAAAACCTGGCCCCATTGAGCCCTCCCCATTGTCCATCCTCAGCCCCTTGCAGCCTGTGTCCCGCTGTCTGTCTCTGAGTGACTGTCGTAGGGACCTCATAGAACTGGAGTCCTGCGGTGTCTGTCCTTTGCTCTCCGCCTTCTTTCACGCACATAACATCTCCAGGGGCCGTCAGTGCTGGGCACGTGTCAGGATTTCCTTCCTCCTTGAGGCTGAACAATGCTGCCTGGTGTGTAGAGGCTGCCTCTTGTTTATTCGCCGTCGGTGGACACGTGGGCTGTTGTGAATTGGGCTGTGTTTACATAAGTACAAGCATCTTTTGGAAGTCTCTGCTTTGTAGGGTTTATTTTTAATCAGAATTCTAGTTACGTTTTAGGTATCGTAGATGAGGGAGACTTTTTCTCCCCGAGTGATCTGGCTCCAAGAGAACTGTTGACTTGCTGTTTTCTTTGTTGCCTGTGGCTGCTTGGAGTCGTGTGTCTTAGCGCCTGCACAGCCCAGTTCTGACCACTCAGCTAAGGGGGAACTTGCTTCACCTCTCATTGCGAAATCCCTTTAGACTTACAGAAGCGTTGCCCCGGTGGTCAGAGTGCTCTTTTTTTTTTTTGAGACGGAGTCTTGCTGAGTCGCCCAGGCTGGAGTGCGGTGATGTGATCTCCACTCGCTGCAAGCTCCGCCTCCCGGGTTCACGCCGTTCGCCTGCCTCAGCCTCCCGAGTAGCTGGGCTACAGGCGCCCACCACCACGCCCGGCTAATTTTTGTATTTTCAGTAGAGCGGGGTTTCACCGTGTTAGCCAGGGTGGTCTCGATCTCCCGACCTCGTGATCCGCCCACCTCGGCCTCCCAAAGTGCTGGGATTACAGGCGTGAGCCCCGCGCCCGGTCAATCGGAGTGTTCTTTGATGCCTTCCTGCGAGCTCCCCAAAGGCTGACCGTGACGTACGTGGTCTGCAGGTTTGGACCAGGCCACAGTGTCCATGACTGCCCCCGAGACCCATCCACGGGTACTTGCGAGCCCCAGGCCACGGCGTCTGTGACTGTCCCCCAGACCCATCCATGGTGCTTCCGCTCCCCGACGTGGATGTTCGGTCTCCTCGGTCTCTCCCCGTCCTGTGTCATTTCTTGGTCTTGTTTTCTGAGGCAGGGTCTTGCTGTGTTGCCCAGGTTGGTCTTGAACTCCTTGACTCAAGTGATCCTCCTGCCTCAGCCTCCCGAGTAGCTGGGATTACAGGCGGACTCCACTGTTTCTTGGTGTTTGTCTTTGGTGACTGTGACACTCTGCACAGGCCAGTGACGTTCAGGAATGTCAGTCTCTGGAGCTGTGACATGTCCTCAGGGTCAGGTCGAGCAGTGCATTTGGCCGGATCAGTGCAGCAGTGCTGTGTGCCTTGCGGTTTACAGTGTCACTGCACCTGTCGCTGGTGGTGGACTCTGCTGAGGGCTTTGGCCCTGGGCTGGCGTGCATCTCTTCTGGGTGCCCCGTGTGCCCTGTGCTGGTGCCCGTCTCTCCTGTGTGCCCTGTGTTCCCCGTGCTGGCACATGTTTCTCCTGGGTGCCCGCGTTCCCCTTGCTGGCGCCCATTTCTTCTGGGTGCCCCGAGTGCCCTGGGCTGGTGCCCGTCTCTCCTGGGTGCCCTGCGTTCCCGTCTGCCTCTGGGCTGCTGTGAAGTCAGATGGACTGATGCCCACAGAAGTGCTCTGTAGGCTCTGAAAGCTCCGAGGGTAGAGGATGAAAGTGAGATTCCCAACAGTGTCCAGGACTCAGCGGCGTTGCTGCGGCATTTGCGGAGAATGCTTCACCCTCTCCTGCTGCTTGTCCCCCGTGTCTGCAGTCGTCTCTCAGCGTGCTTGTTCAGGAACTAATGCGTGAGCAACCGAGACCTGAACGGCCGCCTTCTGCACACGCAGCAAGTGGTCATGGGAGTCGAGTTTTCAGAGAACAGGGTGTCTTCAGAGACGTGGGCTGAGCAGTTCAGATTCTGTGACGTCTGAAGTGTCACGAAGGAAAGACACCTCAGAGATGGGTCCTTGGGAGGTCCAGAGACCCCACCGGCTCTGCTGGGGCAGCTGGCCCCGCCCCTCAAGTGGAGATCACCATGCGTGTCAGAGGCCTCTGGAGCCTCCAGGCTCGCCGCACTGCTTCTCTGCGGAGCATCTTTATGTGGCCTCTTTGGTGCTGTGTGGCCTTTGATGTGGCCCTGACCATTGCTTCTCGGGGCTGCTCAAGGACGGGTGGGTGGTTTGGGTTTTGAAGAAATCTGCAGGACACCTTGGGTTCTGGCCACAGAGTCTTAGGACTCTCTACAGTTTGGGTGAGGCGGGTGGCTGTGCCGTGCGGGCACGGCGTGAACACCGAGGTCTTCGTCCTGTGAGTCTGCGGCCTTCTCCGCGTTGACCAGGTGCCCTTCCAGGGGACCATGAGGAGGCTCAGAGGAGAGACCCCCGCCCGCTCCTGCCTCACCGAACCCGCAGGGCCGAGGGCAATGTCGCCCGCTCCTGCCTCACGGAGCCCGCAGGACCACCGAGGGCAGTGCCGCCCGCTCCTGCTTCACGGAGCCCACAGGCAGAGGGCAGTGCCGCCCGCTCCTCCTCACCGACCCCGGACCACCGGGCATGCGCCCGCTCCTGCTTCACGGAGCCCACAGGCAGAGGGCAGTGCCGCCCGCTCCTGCCTCACGGAGCCCGCAGGACCACCGAGGGCAATGCCGCCCGCTCCTGCCTCACGGAGCCCACAGGCAGAGGGCAGTGCCGCCCGCTCCTGCCTCACGGAGCCCGCAGGACCACCGAGGGCAGTGCTGCCCGCTCCTGCCTCACGGAGCCCACAGGCAGAGGGCAGTGCCGCCCGCTCCTGCCTCACGGAGCCCGCAGGACCACCGAGGGCAGTGCCGCCCGCTCCTGCCTCACGGAGCCCGCAGGACCACCGAGGGCAGTGCCGCCCGCTCCTGCCTCACGGAGCCCGCAGGACCACCGAGGGCAGTGCCGCCCGCTCCTGCCTCACGGAGCCCGCGGGACCACCGAGGGCAGTGCCGCCCGCTCCTGCCTCACGGAGCCCGCGGGACCACCGAGGGCAGTGCCGCCCGCTCCTGCCTCACGGAGCCCGCGGGACCACCGAGGGCAGTGCCGCCCGCTCCTGCCTCACGGAGCCCGCGGGACCACCGAGGGCAGTGCCGCCCGCTCCTGCCTCACGGAGCCCGCGGGACCACCGAGGGCAGTGCCGCCCGCTCCTGCCTCACGGAGCCCGCGGGACCACCGAGGGCAGTGCCGCCCGCTCCTGCCTCACGGAGCCCGCGGGACCACCGAGGGCAGTGCCGCCCGCTCCTGCCTCACGGAGCCCGCGGACCACCGAGGGCAGTGCCGCCCGCTCCTGCCTCACGGAGCCCGCGGGACCACCGAGGGCAGTGCCGCCCGCTCCTGCCTCACGGAGCCCGCGGGACCACCGAGGGCAGTGCCGCCCGCTCCTGCCTCACGGAGCCCGCGGACCACCGAGGGCAGTGCCGCCCGCTCCTGCCTCACGGGCCCGCGGACCACCGAGGGCAGTGCCGCCCGCTCCTGCCTCACGGAGCCCGCGGGACCACCGAGGGCAGTGCCGCCCGCTCCTGCCTCACGGAGCCCGCGGGACCACCGAGGGCAGTGCCGCCCGCTCCTGCCTCACGGAGCCCGCGGGACCACCGAGGGCAGTGCCGCCCGCTCCTGCCTCACGGAGCCCGCGGGACCACCGAGGGCAGTGCCGCCCGCTCCTGCCTCACGGAGCCCGCGGGACCACCGAGGGCAGTGCCGCCCGCTCCTGCCTCACGGAGCCCGCAGGACCACCGAGGGCAGTGCCGCCCGCTCTGCTGGGTTTGCCTTTTGCCCTGAAGACAGAGACACTTTTATGAGTGACTGGAGCCCAAAGGCAAGCGTCTGTCAAACGACCTTTTCCACATAACCCCTCTGTGCTGTCATGAGAAGAGCTGCTTCCGCCCCGGATTTGCTGAGGCCGGGAATCCGCTGACTGAAGGCCTCTTGTTGAGTTGTGCCAGCTCTGAACGAGTCTCTTTATGCCGAGCCACAGCTGTGCGCTCAGCCCCCCCGAGGCCCCCGGCCAGGCTTTGGTGCTTCTGTTCGTGGCAGTGCGCGGGATGGGGCAGATGCTGAGCCGGTCGTGGGAAAATCTCGCTGGGGAAGAGAAAAGCCCCAGCCTTGTTGTTTATGTCAGCCGGTCCATGGCGGTGTCCTGTGGACCCCAGACCCCCCTGGGAAGGGCGTAAGTCAGAGAGCACTGGAGGCTCCACCGGCTGTGGACGTCCAGGTCCCGGCTCCTGTGCTAGAAAGCAGTGATGGGAGCGTCAGCACTGACCACACGCGGGAGCCGCGGACGCCTAGCATTTCACAGAGGCCTCCCTTCGACATAGTCATCCCCTGGTGGCGGAAGCTGAGGTGACGGCCCCTCACGTGCAGCCACACACGGGAAAGGCTACTGTAAACATTTTATGCTTCGACTTTATTTTCTGCAGAGACAGGGTCTCGCTCTGTCGCCCAGGCTGCAGTGCAGTGGCGCGATCTCAGCTCACTGCAAGCTCCGCCTCTCGGGTTCACGCCATTCTCCTGCCTCAGCCTCCCAAGTAGCTGGGACTGCAGGCGCCCACCACCACGCCCGGCTAATTTTTTATATTTTTAGTAGAGACGGGGTTTCACCGTGTTAGCCAGGCTGGTCTCAATCTCCTGACCTCATGATCTGCCTGCCTTGGCCTCCCAAAGTGCTGGGATTACAGGCCTGAGCCACCATACCCGGCCCTGGCTGCTGTTTTTCTTTGAGACCAGTGTTCCTATTACTTTTCCCATTTTTTTCACTGTTTATACAATCTCAGAATTCTGTATCCACAGCCCTGGCCTCTGCAAGGAAGGCACTCCACAACACTGAGC